CTTTTTGTTACGTAATATCACTTTAAAGATCCTCCTTTGAAAAAATTTTGAATGTTTTTTTTTTTTAATATTTTATCGCAAATACAACTTCATGCAATTTCTTCGCATGCTAAATATATTGAAACAAATGAGAAACGTAATTCTCAATATAATTAGAAATAACTCCGATATAACTTGGCAATAATAGAAATGGATAACATGTTTAGCATATCGGTCTACATTTTGGCAAAAGAAAAAATACAACTTGCCAGAAACGTTACTCGAAACTTTACTGAACGACTTAAATTCTTCGATTCGTTTCGAAACAAATAATATCCTCGAACGTTTTCTCATTACAAAACTTCTTACCAACAGAGTACATCCCCACCACTAAAAAAAACCCTATACAATGACGTTTACGAACCATCCTTTCCTTGTCATCTCAGACAACATTCGATAAATCATAATGGCAAAGTGAGAAGAGTTTCAATCGGAACGAGTAACACCCGTTTCCATTCGACACGCCACATCGAGCCCATGCGTCAAAACCGAGGTGCATCGATAAAGATCGAAAATCGATCCGGTCTATTCTTCGTGGAAGGCGACCCAGTTGCCTGAAACGGGAAAACGTGCGTTTCGTAATCGAAGTGGCCGTCGTGCACCGCCTTGTTGCTCGTTTAAATAAAACCGCTGAACAAACCGGTCCCCGCTCCTACTTATCCCGAACCGCGCTACTTTATCGAGCGAGGCGCATGACGTCATCCGCGTGGCGCACAATGCGCGGAGATCGCATTCTTCGCCTCATCCTTCGGAACGCGGCCTTGGAGCAGCCCTTTAAGGGCCGTGATATCGGGTGGAGAGACGACCTGAATTCACGGAGGACCTTGACCACTATTAAAACGACGGCCAATCTGTTTCGAGCTCGAGCGGGACCGGTTAAGGAAGATCGATTCATGCCTCGTTACCGAAAACAGCATCTGCGTTCGAGAGATGAGTAATGGAACGGGATCGTGAGGTATTCGAAGCGTTATACAATAAGGTGGAATGAAATTCTAGAATAGACAATCTACAATTTTTTGCGCCATTTCTGATTTTTAACAAAGAATAAACGTTATCTGCAATTGAATTTAATCTATCTGGATCTTTATTAAAATTTTATTATTTTTTGATAATTTGTATTTTGATACATCTTTTTTTTTTTTTTTAATAATAATACTTGTGTCTCGATTAAATATCAGCAAGAGAAAAATAAAGAGAGAGAATATTAAGAGGGAAGAAAAGAAAGAAGAGAAGTAAAAATTAATCACGTTAGACTCCTTAATAACGTCGGTCTCTGTAAATTGTCTCGATCCGAGGAGCGAAAAAACAGAGGGTCGAGGTTTATCAGGGGCGGCGGGCTGACTGTTTAGCGAGAAAATCAGAACATAAAGCCGTCCCTGTTCCTAGGTGTGCATATATATGTATATATATATATACATATACACAATCTTTCTCCGTTACTTTGATCTTCCTTCCATTACACTCCGGCAGACCGTCGCGGTACAACGACCCTCCTCTAACGCTCATTTGCATAACGGTAGTATTCGATTTTTACGTTCCCGAGAAAGCTTGCTTATTTCGTATTGCGCGCAATCCTTTGCCTTATCTCTTTATACATACTTTCAAAAATATATTTCTAATCCAAGTTTCGACCATTCGTTACGAAATATCGTAATAATAAAAGGATTACGAATAATTATAATTATTAATATATTGCTCTCTCTCTCGAGTATTTTCCATCGATTGAGAATAAAGGACAATTTATCCTTGCTCTCAAGAATTCTAATTTTCACATTTTTTTCTTTTTTTCGAGATTGTCTACGATCGAATGAATAAATTCGAGAGATTTGATTCCCATGTATAAGTATTATAATATTTCTGAAATTTGTCGACGAAAGGACAAAAGTGACATATTGTCAAGGAATGATAGGGCGCCCACAATGGCCGAACATTATTCCAAGCCGTCGCGGCGTGACGAGCGGCGTAAACTTATTTTTGGCGCGAGTTATTTCCGTCCGGGTCGACGAGAACGCCGGCCAGAGAGGAGAAACGCGCGCGCGCATGCGCGCAAGCCTTGGGAGAAAATTCTGGCTCCGACTTCCTGCGCAAATTCTTCTTCTTTCGAAGCGAGCCATCCCCCCCCATTTTCTCATCCGTCGTTATACCTTATCGACCGATGAAACGTAATCTCACTTCTATCTACCATCTCGATATATTTCGTATAGAATTCGAAAAATTGTTTGTTTGTAAAGAATTTTTGAATTTTTTCCTCCCCACGATATCTTCTGGAATTATATTATATCTACTTTCAATATACAAGAGACGTACGATAAAGAAACTATACTAAAGCGATGAGAATTTGGATCGATATTTGGACAGGAGAAATGTACAGGTTGTGTCGTCAATCGATTCGACTCGTTAGAAGGATAAAGGAGACGAAAATAAAATAAAATAAGCAATTAAGATAAAAGTATTCTCGGCCCACCATCGTTCCAGAAAGAAAAAAGAATACGTTAAATTACACCATTATCTACTACTATTTGTCTTCCAAATAAACTTCAATTTTGAATAAGCGACGTTACAAAAATTCTATTCCATTTATAAACGATTCTAAAAGCGTTTTAAAACACGTATTACTTATCGATACAACTTCTTGCTAGCAGATGAAATTTCAAACATTTTCTTAAGCATGTATGTATGCAAATTAGAAAATAGAATATGTAAATTTCAATGAAGCAGAAACTGGTTCAACGAAAGACGATCATCTATCGGGTCACGAGTCGCGGTTGACTTAATTAAGAAGACGTTTTAAGTAACAAGAATTGCCCTTATTCTTGCCCACCACCGATTCAATCGGTGGAGCCGACTTCCTACCGGGAAGTGACGTAAACAGGAGCAATTAGAACGTTCCACATGGTTCATAAAGAGGCGCGAGTAAACTGGCGCGTAAAAATTCTCGGCCACTTCCTGTTCGCCGTTCTTGGCTGACGAAGAGATACTTCTTCGTGTCGTGGTCGTGATTTTGACCCGCCCACTAGACGCCTGCTCGTGTCGATCCGAAATATGCAGATGTCGCGGATAAACCCTCGACAGATCCCGACCATACAAGGAGCCATGATCATTTTTTTCGATAAGAACGTGATTTTTCGTTTTTATTCCATTGGAAAATTTCTCCACCCAATTTTGATTTTTAACAGAATGAAATTGAGGAAGGGAAAATCTACAATTTTTTTAGTTTCGAATAGTTTTGAGGGTAAATCTTAGACAAATTCCATTTCTATAATTTTTTCGATAAAAAAAGAAGGCGATTTTTAATTTTTATTCCATTGGAAAATTTCTCCATCCAATTTTGATTTTTAGCAGAATTGAATTCAGGAAGACGTTATATGACTCTCGAAGAGAAAAATCTACAACTTTTTTATTTTTTTTTTTTTTTTCGAATAATTTCGAAATTTTGAGGATAAATTTGGACAAATTCTATTTCGATAATTTTTTTGATAAAAAAAAAGATTTTTCGATTTTATTCCACTGGAAAATTTCACTACCCAATTTTGATTTTTAGCAGAATTGGATTGAGGAAGAGAAAAATCTACAATTTTTTTAGTTTCGAATAGTTTTGAGGGTAAATCTTAGACAAATTTCATTTTCATAATTTTTTTGATAAAAAAAGAAGGCGATTTTTAATTTTTATTCCATTGGAAAATTTCTCCATTCAATTTTGATTTTTAGCAGAATTGAATTCAGGGAAACGTTATAAAACTCTCGAAGAGAAAAATCTACAACTTTTTTATTATTTTTTTTTTTTCGAATAATTTCGAAATTTTGAGGAAAAAAAAAATTTGGACAAATTCTATTTCGATAATTTTTTTGATAAAAAAAGAAGGTTTTTCGATTTTATTCCACTGGAAAATTTCACTACTCAATTTTGATTTTTAGCAGAATTGGATTGAGGAAGGAAAAAAATCTACAATTTTTTTAGTTTCGAGATTTTGAGGGTAAATCCTGGACAAATTCCATTTCGATAAAAAAAGAAGGCGATTTTTCGTTTTTATTCCACTGGAAAATTTCTCGACCCAATGTTTTTCGATTCTTAGCAAAATTTTAAGACATTATGTAACGTCTCGAGAAGAATCTAAAAGTATAAATTTCGAGGATAGTTTCAAGACTTCGAATGACTCATCTCTAATCGTTAAGGAAGATCATGAAAGTTTCAACAACTTTCGTAAAAATTCTTATTGACTCGAACTTTTGTCGAGCAAAAAAAGCAAAGTTCTGGAAGGGAAAAGGTAAGGGAAAACTTTTTGACAAAGAGTCGTCACGGTGGCCCGTATACGAGACAAGCCAATTGCGTAAAATAGTGGGCCAGTTTCGGTGGTTGCCAAGTTGTGCAACAACTGCCATCCCAGAAAACGAAATATGCGCATACCATGATGAATCGATAACTTTGCATTTGTCAGGCCAATCATGCATTTCTAAATATTCGGCAAGATTGTTTCGAAATGAAATATTTCTCAAAAGAAAAAAAATTAATTGGACACTACCAGCAATCGAAAATCGTACGTTTTGATTCTAAATAGTCTTACTCTTCCATTAATTAAGGGAACACGAGATTCGAACTCTCCTTCGAATTTAACACTTAACCTTTTACTGAATGAGAATGTTCCCCCAATTAGCACGAAACTACTACTTACTTTCCCAAACTGATTTGAAAGTCTAATTCACCTCTCTACGTTCTCTGTACACACATCGATACAATTTAAGAAATCATCCCCAATTTCTATCCATGCCAAGACACGAAAATTAATTACTAAAAACGAGTTATCAAAACAAAAACAAAAATCAAATTATCGCATATATATATATAAAGATCAAGAATCACTCTGTAAATAAATAGCTCTTCGAAGTGATTTACTCTTCACGAAGTAATTTTATGAAGAATAATAATAAAAAAAGTCCCTAGAAGAAGAAAATAAAAAACTCACCAATAGTTTGTTGTCCACGGTCTTGACGACGATCTCCTCAGGCGTATACTGGGAGACGTCGAATCGAAGTTTCAGGCATTTGCTGTCCCCTTCGTCCTGAATGAGCGGGCTGTTCAACCCATCGAGCCAGGCCGAGTCGTGAGGGGGGCTGAGAGAACTGTTTTGAGTGCTCTGCGTTGTGGTGCTGAAAGGTAGAACAGGACACGATTCGTTCGATTATCGATTCAAATTCGTTCGATCGATCGATCAACTCGTATATTATTATTATTATTAATTATCACGGGACGAATATGCGAACGACGTTTCAACGACGAATGAAAAACAATTATATTATTAAAGAAAAAAAAAAAAAAGGAAAAAAAAGAAGAAGAGGAAAAAAGAACGAGACAAAAAACAACAAAAAAAAAAAAAAAGGAAAAAAAAGAAGAAGGGGGAAAGAGAACAAGAAAACAAACGATAAAAAAAAAAAAAAGGAAAAAAAAGAAGAAGGGGGAAAGAGAACAAGAAAACAAACGATAAAAAAAAAAAAAAGGAAAAAAAAGAAGAAGGGGGAAAGAGAACAAGAAAACAAACGATAAAAAAAAAAAAAAGGAAAAAAAAGAAGAAGGGGGAAAGAGAACAAGAAAACAAACGATAAAAAAAAAAAAAAGGAAAAAAAAGAAGAAGGGGGAAAGAGAACAAGAAAACAAACGATAAAAAAAAAAAAAAGGAAAAAAAAGAAGAAGGGGGAAAGAGAACAAGAAAACAAACGATAAAAAAAAAAAAAAGGAAAAAAAAGAAGAAGGGGGAAAGAGAACAAGAAAACAAACGATAAAAAAAAAAAAAAGGAAAAAAAAAAAGAAATCTCGACAAAAGACACCAAGTTCGCCTACCAAGAGAGGGGGGGGGGAGTGGACCTGAACAGTGCACAAAGTTCGAGAGAAACGAGAAATCTTACCTAGGATTGCGGTGATGATGCAACGAACGAGAGACAACATAGCAAACACAACATTGAAAAAAAAAAAACTGGCTCACGATGGATGGACGGCTAAAAAAGATTCTTGTGCATCTGAAGCGCTCAACTTGGTTAAATGAATACCGAATTAAGGTTAGAAGCTCAATTTGCGTGCTGTGTAGCTTCGATAATTAGCCATAACCGGTTGTTGTGCTTTCGCGAAACCCCGCCACAAAAGCTTCGATATTATTTATTATAAACTACTTGGGTTAATTCGTTTCGTCAAAAGGGGTTAACTTGATCTACGTGAACAACTCGTGCCCGTTACCTTTTATAGTGCTTCTTGCTGGTGGTGGCTTACGATTAGAAGTGAGAAAGAATATATATATATAAGGATATACAGAGGGATAGAAATAAATTACACACGGAGACAAGATGGCCGTTTCTCGATGATCTGAGAAAATTTTTCAAATATACGTTTAAAATTTGCATTCCGAGAAAATCTATGAGAAAAGAGAAAATTTCGAGCAACAGATTTCGATATCAAATGAGCGACTCTATACTTTTTCAAATATTTGGAGAATCTTAAATTAGAATTAGAATCTTGGAGATAATTGATTACTCGAATCATTGTTCGATTCATCATTTTTTCTCAAACTTATTCAAACTTTCAGATCATCGAGAATGGGAAAACAAAGAGAGAGAGAAAAAAAAAGATCTATCAAAAAGGATAATTACAGGGAGTTTTATAATCGAGTGTTTTATCAAGGGTGTGTGGTGTGGTCTTTCTTTGTATTTTTTTTTTTCTTTTTTTCTGTGTTTTACACAGTAGCGTCACCTTTTGAAGCTGTCGAACGCGGACCGCGTTGGCGGTGCTGCAGGATCGACCTTGTCCCAACCTTCGCTCTTCGAGGTCGTCGAGGTACGGTGTTCGCTGGTGCTCGTGTGATGTCGACTTCAAGTTAGTCACCAACGTGCCAATGCAGAGAGCCAATCAGAAGGCGAGATAGAAGTCGAGCAAGGGGGGAACAGGGGACATTATTATTTTGTTAACTTCGGTGGTTAGTTTCGTTCAATTCGCATTTATTCTCCTCTTTTCAGTCGCCGATCTTTTGTTCTATTATTGGCAAACTTGTTATTGGCAAAGTATCTTTTGTTTTTTGTCTTTTATTTTTTTCTTTTTTCAATATCATTTTTTCCACTGCTTCCTGGCGTCAAACGAGAATCGTCTCTCCCTTCGTCAGAATCTTTTATTAATTTTCATTACCATCAGATTCAGAGTTAATTTCGCAGTAATTTGGAAATTTAAAATTTAGATAGTAAAAAAACTGCGTTACGATTGTTTTCAATCCGAGAGGAGAAGAATGGTACGTCGGTTTGTCGCCAAGAAACAGTACGTTGAAGAGGAGAAGAAGGTCCATTTCCAAAGGATAAAATTATACTCCGTATATTTACATGTGAAAAGAGGCGTAAGAATAGCAGAACTGGAAGTTACAGAACCCAGTAGTTGAAAAAAAAAAAAAAACCGTTTACAGCGTGTCATTGTCAGAATGATGATATTTCAGAATCTATATCTGCTTTTTTTTTTTTTTTTAATTGCTTCCTCAACTTGCAAAAGCGATCT